TGCTTCGCCTTTCTCTACTGCTGTGATAGTGGGCCAGGATTCTGCCTCTTGAGTAATACCGAGATTTTGCAGTCATTTTGGGATATAACTACATTAAAAACAGGCATATAGATTGTTATTTAATTTTAGTACCCCTAAAACACATGAACGCTGCTGAGGCACATCTTGAATCTGCTTTCACCCTTTACTTAAGTCAGAGAGAATATTTTTCTAAAGAGAGCTTATGCTGTCATGTGTAGTATCTGTGTAGGTTTTTTAAGTGTCATGAAAGTGCAAATACTAGTGAAAACAGTGGCTGTGTAAAAACACTCAGTTTAGTAGCGAGTTTCTCATGGGGAGATTCAGACTGACACGAGTGCTAAGAAAGAATAACTGAACATAAGACATCAAAACTAATTTGTCATCAGGATTAATACGAAGAAAAAAATAATCCTAAATAACCTGTGGGATAAGAGGCATGAAACACTGTCAAAGCTGGTGAGCTTGAATACAAACTTGCTCAAACGATTTTCACTTCCATAGGCAGAGGGAGACTGGAGCCTTCAGAAGATGCTGGTTTCTCGGGCAGTTGGTTAAAGTTCATTATGAATCAGGGTATTTGGCTTGTTTGCAACAATAGGCTTGAACTTCAAAGTCGCTCTGCCTGCCTGCTTGTGTTTTCTGTAAATATATGAGGCTTGGGAGATGCAGCTTGCTTTGAAAGTAAAACCGCACTGTGCGAGGACTAACGCAAATGGAAGAGCAGCTCGTGATGAGCAGGAATTGCAGTCATGACTATGGTGTAAAAGCACAGGCATGAAAGTCTGGAAAACACTAAAGCTGTCAGAAGTGACTTATAAATATCTTTTAGCGTAGATGTGAGACTCTAAATGTTAGATCAGAGTTACAATAGCTCTGAAATAAATACTTACTCCTAAATTATGAGCTAAAGATTGTTGGGGTTAACTGTTGCGTCATTGCCTTGAAAACGGAAGTTAAGGGCAAGTGCTCATGATGTATGTGGTATGGAGCTGATGGGAAGAAATGAAGTCTTAGTCCTGTGTCTTGATCCTATAAGCATTTGTGTTTGCTTTCATCTAGAATCTAAGGAATAAGAGCAAATTCATGCTTTAAGCTGCAATATTGAGTGGTGGGGACCTAAAAGAAAGTCGGAATAAAACATAGAGATTTCAAATGTGATTTCAGAAATATGAGCTCTTATGCTTGTCCTGGGGTCAATATCTCTATGAGCATAAGGGTTTGTCTGTATGAAGAGTTGTATAGGATCAGGTCAAAGGACATATTCGCAGATCTGATATGTTGTGAAAAAAAATTCACCATAAAACTTGTTCTTCCCAGAGGGGGCAGATAATGTGTTTTGTTTTGGGGGTTTGGTGGTGTGTTTTTTTTTCCAAATACAAGGAAAGCTTCGTACATGCAGTTACAGCTGACGCGAGTGTCCCAGAACACTTGTTTCATTCATTATGTGACAGATTTGCTGCTATTGTTGACTAATTCCAAGAAGACTATGTATGGTCAAGTGCTATGAGCAAATGCTGAACAGTTGATGTCACATGGACAGTTAGAAAGTGCTTGGGTGTTTGGATCAAGTTGTACGCTGAAAACTACAAATAAAAACATTGTAGTATAAGCTAAGTCGGTAAACAGTTTTTCATGGAAAATAGGAAGTATTCATTGATGTAGAGATTCTTTACTGAAGTTTAAACATTCTTTAGGCATGTTGTAACTCTTTGTGCAAAATACTGCTTTGCAAAGAAGGAGACTAATGAGACTTTAGTCTAAGCCTCTGCATGTAGCTTTCTAAAGAAAAACACTTTAAAACTTGTTTGTGTTGCAGTATGTCAGAGGCAAAGCTACCTTGAACAGAGGGAGCGGGAGCTTCAGGTGTCCAAAAGGCAGTGAAATGCACAGTCTGCAAGGCTTACATGTAGGTTTTTATCTCAAGCTAAGAGTATTCTGGCGAGAGATTTAATAGGTACAGCAGAACATAAGCTTACAGATGATGGGGAGGTGTTTCTCTTGCCACTTCGGTTGTGAATTCTGCAACTGTATAACTTAAATATACGCAGCTTAGTTTTCAGCTCCTGGTAGGACTCAGAGACCCCCACTCATGTGAGTGGATGTGCAGACAGACTCAAAAGCAGGTAATCCCTTGGTAGGGCAATTTGGGAGACATGGACAGGGGTGCAGAGTTGTCCTCTGTCACTTTCTTACCAAGAAGTCTTTCTGCTCTTTTGAAATTCAAGAGCACAGATGTTTTCAATGTCTTTAGCTCCTTTGAAGTTAAATGGTACTTGATTGC